AAGAAAAGGTGACCATGGGGAACTACGTCATGCCCATCTGCCTGCCCCAGTTTGAGCATGAGCTAGAAGGACCTCACCCCAACACACTGGGGCTGGTGGCCGGCTGGGGAATTTCCAATCCCAACATCACTGTGGATGAGATCATCAGCTCAGGCATGAGGACACTGTCTGACATCCTGCAGTACGTCAAGCTCCCAGTGGTGCTGCATGCAGAATGCAAGACCAGCTACGAGTCCCGCTCGGGGAACTACAGCGTGACCGAGAACATGTTCTGTGCTGGCTACTATGAAGGTGGGAAGGACACTTGTTTGGGAGACAGCGGAGGAGCCTTTGTCATTCAGGACCCAGGAACCCGGAGATGGGTGGCCCAAGGGCTGGTCTCATGGGGTGGTCCAGAGGAGTGCGGCAGCAAACAAGTGTATGGTGTGTACACCAAAGTCTCCAACTACGTGGACTGGGTGGAGAAGAACACAGGCTCCTCAGAGAGGTGGACATTTCTGGACCCTGATCTGGAGAGATGAGTGACTAAGCACTGCCTGCTGACACAGCTTTCTTTTTTTTTGTTGTCCTTTAATATGCTCCAGACTCCGGTCTTTCGCAAGCAGTAGCCATGATGCTCAGCCGCACTTCGGGACTCTGCCAGCCAACCACATCATTCCTTTCACTTGGTCCCACATCCCTTTGCTTTCACTCTTAGGAAATGCTTGCTAGGGAGCTGGGGGAAGGGAGTAAAGGGTGAGATCTCATCATTGAGATGAGCATTGCTAGCTCATGTTGCCAGGCTTGGTGTTTAACCTCTTCTATGTGGACCTGGGTAGTCTTGTGTGGCAAAGCATTCATTCTTGCGAAACACAAGTCCCTTTTAGTTGTACTGAAGACCATTCTTCAGGCTGATTTACAGGTTACTGAAGGTCTCCATGGTTTGTCCATGGCTCTTCTGGCCTATTGCAGGTGTCCAAATCATCCCAGACTCACCCAATCCATCCAACACTCCATTTCACATCTCCCCTACCATGACACACACAGACAATAATCCCCACCAAGGAACAAATTCAGGTGAGCTTAGCTTCCTTCAGCAGAGACATCGCCTCCTTTACTTGCCAGCAAAGCCCTCCTATAGCTGGAAGCAACATGCAGCAATTGCCCGCTGTCCCCTCTGAGTACTTTTAGCCTCCTTTGGACTTCTCCTCCTCCTCCTCCTTTGGTTTTGCATGCAAGGAATGAGTCAACATTGAACCAGCCACCCTGCCATTTTGTTATCATCCAAAAAGCCATTCGTAGAGCATGTAGAGGAGCAGAAGGCCTAAGGAAGATCTAACTTGCAGACATGCTAAGAACTGTACTCTTGGCTATGTCGTATAACTGTAAGGTATTTTTATATATATATTTCTTTTTGATACTACATTCTGCAGAATATCTGATTACATGTAAGGATGGTTCTGTGTAATCTTCATCCTGAGAATAAAACTAAATGTTAATATTTACTGAGTTCATGCCCTGAGGCTTTTATTCCAGGCAGGAAATGGTCAAGGAGTGAAGGCAAAGGATGGTCACAAATCTGTCCCATGCACTTCTGTTCCTTCTCCATGGCATCTGCTCTGTGTCCATGTCAAACTTATCAACAACCTCAGCTCCACACAGTCCAACTCTGCATTGCACACAGTCTTCCCATGGCCAAGGCAGAATACAGAAAATGAAGGAGGTGAGATCCAGTGGTGGTCACTGCTGGAGAATCAACCCTAATGAATGGACTACATATTCCCAACAAGCAACGCAAACAAGTCCTGTCTGCATTTTAGGGAAAGCTAAGCTACGCAGCTCTGGGTCTCGCATTGTATAGTGTCATCTTGCCCTCTCATGTATAGCAGTGCTACAGATTACCAGCTTGCTTAAATGGATGAATCCCCAGAGCCTTCAGTCAGGTACAAAAGGCAGTCATGCAGTCAGTGGGAACACTCAGGTTGCAGGCACTTGGAAATGGTCTCCAGTGGCTGCCAAGTGCAGAGAAGCCCATTGATGCCAAGAATGGTGTAACTCCACTGAGCCTTCTGGCTTTCAATAAAAACTCTCTTCAGAAGTGCTGGGAAAAACATATTTATCCCTGAAACCAAATAATTAAACTGAAGAGCATGCAAGATATCTTTTTGTTCCTAAGCATCATGGGTGAAGTGCAAACAAAAGCACCCAGTCTTGCATTTGCTGGGCTGGGGTCCAGCAGTGCATCCACCACCCATCCCTGCTGGGTGCAGCAGTGGCTGATTTGGGATCATGGTCTGTTTACACTGTCAGTTTATCATAAGCCTGTCGAAGATCAGAGATAACAAACAGAGACCAGAAAAATGCTGTGATCCCACCAGCACCATGGGTCTGGAGGTGCTTCACCCGCACAGGATAGAAGCCCAGAGGGTTCTGCCTCGTGTTCTCAGCTACAACCCCTGCAGCTTTGTGGGCTGAGACAGACCGGAACATGCCAGGAATGCAAACTGCAGGAAACAGCAATAGGTGAGATCCCACCCTTCAGTTATTTATAGCCATAGCACGTCATTAAAGATGGGGCTGATTGCAGGAGGAGAGAGCAGCAACCTGGAGGCTGAGAACTCAGTCTGAGTTCAAATGGCATGCAGAAAAAATAGCAGGTAAGTAAGAAAGCAAAGGCAAAAGCAAAAGCAAAATATGGTCCCTTGGGCATCACACCATCAGCTGTAGGACCTGTGCCTAGATGGCTCCCAGGCAAGTTGCAAAACGCCACTGCCCGCAAGAGATCCATCACAAATAAATACCATCCTCCTCCTTCCCACAGCTCCACAGTGCCCATCCAGCCTGCCCATGTCCCCTGCTCAGCACCCTGTGTGCTGCCAAGTGCCAGCTTCTTGCCCATGGCATGGGAGCGGGCGGCGGATGGGAACAACAGAAGCAACGGCTGGTTTTGCATTCACTGGCACCTCTCAACCTGCCAGAGCGGTAAGAAGCTCTCTCCAGGGAGACAGGCACAGAGGCAGCAATTTATCAGTCTGATTGTGGTGAAAGACCAGCAAAACGTCTCCACATGAGGTTTGCTTGTCTCTGGCCAAGTGCAAGCACCAGTCATCAGCTGAGAGTCGGCTGCAGCAGAACCCAGCTCCAGACAGACCAGTGCGGCACATGGCAGAACAGCAGAAACATGAGACCCCCAGCATCCCACTGGGAGAGACAGCATTCTTCATCCCCCAGCTATCCTCTTTGGGATGAGCTCACTGTCTGTGTGCCACTGAGGGGCTGAGCCGGGGAGCAGTGTGCTAAGAAACAAATAGGAGGTGGGCACAGCTGTACATCAGATGGAGGTATCCTGGAAGGAGCCCAGAAATGAGGCTGTGGCTGAGAAACGTGGGTGTCGCTGAGTGATGGGGAGAGGATAAAGCAGCTGCACGATGGAGAGGGCAGAGATACCCCAGGCATGCACCACAGCATGAAGAGACAGCAGACAAGCAGACAGCAGCAGGAAGGGGACAGGGTAGAAAAGCGGATTATGCATGAGAGAACATGGGTGGAAGAGCCTGCGTGTGTGTCTGTGTGTGTGTGTCTGTGTGTGCACAAAAGGTATTGGAAGGATGGCTCTGCCCTTGAAAATGAGCAGAAAGACCCAAGCAAGAAACAAGGACTCCTGCAGGGATGTGGGCTCCACCAGAGCTGGCTTCAGAGGAGGAAGCGAGGGAGTTCCCCCTGCAGCTGGGTGGTGAGGCAGGCTGCAGACAGCCGGACACGATGACTGGAGCTGGGAAAACCTCAGCATGGAAAGAAGAGGGCCACGGGCAATGGCAGTGAGAAACTTGGCAGTGTCTCTGCATTCATGACATAATGCCACGGGGGAGAGGGCAGGCAGCTCCCCACACCAGAACAGCCGCAAGGGGGAAGGGACTCCTTCCAGGCTGCAGGACCAGCCTCCTCCTGCAGCACAGCTCAGCCTCCCAGAAAGGAGAAACCCTTCCAGAAAGAACGGGCCATTCAGAGACGAGATTCTCTGGGTCCTACTATTTCCCTGCCCCAAATGCTCAGTACTTCATAGATACTCCCTCCAGGGGGACAGATTTTGCTGCCTCTCCTTGCTGGGAATTCCCTGCTGGTGGCACCAGCGCCGTTGCCACGGCATCACTGTCCCCCATCAGCTCTGGCGGTCAGGAGAGATTTGAATCAGAGCACTTTGCATCACTTGTGCAGCTCCTGTGCTCCAAGACTTGGAAAAATCACAACGAGAGAGCAGCTCATTCACAGATTGATACCATGGCCATATAGGGTATGGCCTGAAAGCACCAGACTGCAGGGAACCGGATGGGGGAGAGGGGATCCCGCATATGGGGATGGCTGCCCCTTCCCAGTGCCGGCGGGCACCGGCCCCAGTGTTTCCCAGTGTAGCGACGGAGATGTCGCAGCTCCATCTGCTGGCGCCGGGGCTGCGGGAGGTGGAAGAGAAGGAAAGGGCTGGGAAAGAGGAGAGCAAGTGGCATGACGAGCAGGACAGAGCGCTAAGGGGGCAAAGCCCATGGTGTTCCTGCACTGCACAGGGTTTTCTTGTTATTTTTACATATATATATATATATAACCAATATCCTACCGGTTATATGTATGAAAAGACAGGGGAGTCTTACAGCAGTGAAGAAAGCAATGACACAACCCTCCCCTTTCAGATCTGGGGTGATCTCCAGGTCTCTAGTGGATGACACATGGGACATCACCTCTGGCATGGGTCAAGTGGATGTTAATGGCTCCCTGTATGTTTGCTGCAAACCCCCAGCTCTAGATACCCTCAGCTGCTTTGGGTACCCCCATTCACAAAAGCCAAGCCAGGAGAGAGGGGATGTTTCCCCCACAAGACAGATAAAGGAAGATAAAGCAACTGGCCAGCAGATAAAGGAACACCTCACTGCCAACCATTCTGGTCATATATATTCAAAAAAGGCTTTAGAGAAATTAAAAAGCACAGATGCATCTTGGGCTGAGGATAAAGAGCTGCTTTATTCCTGCAGGTCACTCCATTCTTTGTATGAGGAGCTGGGGGCCATCTTCGTGCAGAGCATGTCCCATAAGAAACCATCAGGCCTGCTGGGCTCCCCTGGGCTGGAGACAAGGTGCCTAAGTGTGGTGGTGGTGGCTGTCACCTGTGAGCTGAGAATGCCTCGCCATGCCAGGGCATCCATCCAGTCAATTTTCCATCCTCTCCATTACCACCACCCTCAACTAGCACCCCGGTATTCACAAATGCCACCTCCCATTACTTCAAGAAGAAATGAAGCAGGGCAAAGATGAACAATGCCAAAACACAGAGAACAGATAAGCTCATGCAGCAGCAGCATTTCCAGGGAAAGCCACCACCTACAACTTGCTCCGGGGACCTTGTGATCAAGACAGTCTTGTCCATATCTTCCATGGGCTTCCGGGTCTTGTGCATGCCCACCTTGGTCTTCCAAGCCTTCTCCACATCCATCTTAGTCTTCTGAGCCTTGGCCACATCCATCTTGGTCTTCCAAGCCTCGTCTACATCTATCTTGATCTGCCAGGCCCTGTCCACTTCCATCTTGGTCTTTTGAGCCTTGTCCTCATCCATCTTTGTCTTCTGGGCTTTGCTCACCTTGTTCTTCCCAGCACTGGGCTCCATGGCTGCCCTCGACCTGCTGCAGACGCCGAGCTTGCAGCCCTCGCAGTGGGTCCTGTCGTGCGGCCCCGATGCACGGCACCCATCCACCACCACTTCCAGGAGGTCGGCTGACTGCATGGGCACGTTGTAGAAGTCCTCGAGGATCTTCAGCACCACGTTGTGCAGGAGCCGCTCTATGTTCTCCAGGCTGAATATGGGCTCCTCCAGCTGGGGGTCGTGGCACTGCCTGCAGGCTTGACGGAAGATTCGCATCAGCACCATCCCATAGCACATGTGGAAGAGGATGTGCACTTTGGCTGAGGACCACTTGTACAGGCACTGGGAGCACTGAAACCTGCCGGGACATGGAAGACACCAGCTCATCCCAGCCTTCTGCTGTAACCCAGGGCAGACAGCAGGGAGCTGAGCAGCTGGAGCTGATGGTTCAGCTTTATACACATAGGCTGTCCTCCCCTATCAGCACGATGCCAGCCTGGGTAGTTATACACCCATAAGCTAGGAGCAGACTGAAGTACTATAAAATATAGGACCAGCTTGTTGCCTTTGCCCAGCCTGTCCTGACCCCACTGCCTGGAACAGGGGCCCAGAGGGAGGGAAGAACCAAGCTCCAGCTCCATGTGAGTTTTCAGCCCTTGACCAATGCACAGCTCAGCAGAAATTCAGCGTCAAGCTGAAAAAGTCAAAAAAGAAGCAAAACAGAAGGAAGGTGTGGGTGGTGGCTGCAGAGCAGGTGAGGAGAAGCTGCAGGTTACTTCTCTTCTGACTCATCTTTCACAATGCTTATGGGAGTTAGCAGCCCCTCCACGCTCAGCTCCCCTCTCTGCATCCCCCTCCTCCATCCCTGCATGTGCTATAGGCAAAGGGCTGCTGGCACGCTGTGCAGCCCTTCCACCAAGGCCAATGTCATCTTACTGCAGCCCAGGGTGGCAGGAGGCAGCACAGGGAGGGCAATGATGGTGGCATCCCTCAAGTAGGACCGAACCAGCAGACCCTACCTCCCAGACACACGGTTCTGCAAAAACTCCGTCCAGCCAGGCTTGAGGCTGTGCACCTGCAGGTTATTATCCTCCTGAAATGTCCATGGATCCATTACTTTCATGTTTGCAGCTTTCTCTGCAAAAATCCTCTGCCATGTCGTCATGGTCCAGCATAGAGTTGGGAAGTGGCAGTGACCAAGGTCAAGCTTCTGGCTGCTGATACATGTGCAGCTTTCTTTCCCCCAAACCTTTCCTCCCTCCTTCCCTCATGGGTGCAAAGTCACATCTTTGTGCCCAGAGAGAGGAACCTTTGCCCCCATTTGTGCAGCACCACCCCAATCGATTTCTGTGCTAACAGGCACAGCTGGCACCATGCTACATCCCAGCCAGGCAGAAAGTCTCCCAAAACAAAGACAAAACAGCTGTCCCTGAACACCACGTATTTTGCATGTAAGACCTGGGCATGGGACAAACTCCTATCCCTGCTGAAGCCGTCACTGCTGCTTTGTTCATAGGCAAAGAAGATGCAAACGTAAACCTGTTTGCTGACCAGGACCACGAATATTACAGCTGTGAGAGAATCAGCAGAGATTTTAACCTGCATAGGTATAACGGAACGAAAACTCTGAAAATGCAGGGCTCAGCAGCCAACAAAACCCCAGGTAGCTTTATCTCTCTCGATAGCTGCCACCAAACATGGGCTGTTTTTAACAACTTTCAGCCAACTCAAGCAGAAAAAGCCTGACGTGAAACCACAGAGTGGAAAGTTGGGGATGATGGCACCGCACATAAAACAGAAAGTGGAGAGGTGAGCACTGTGCTGATGACACTGCAGGAGGTGAAAGCAGCAGGGCCAGCAGCAGCCCCCTGCTTCCCCATCTGTGAGCATCCCACCTGAGCAGGACGGGCAGCAAAAGAGATAGGTGCTTGAAAGGTGCCTGGTCTTGAGAGGAGTTAGGGGACAATCTGACTCCTGATGAAGCCACCCTAGAGTGCCATGGGAGTGAAACCATTTCACTCAGCCTGAAGGTTTCAGAGGACACTATTCTGTGCACAGTGAAGGCATAAAATTCCTTTGGAGGTGGCTGCAAGGAGGGAGGGATTCCAGCCATGCTGTCCCCTGCTTTATGTTCATTCGTTGTTGTTTCATATTATATTAGGAGGCTTAGACTCCTCAGCTTCCCAAACCTGCAGATAGGACCCACGTCACCCAAGCCATCAGACTGCCCAGGAGCCCTACTGGGGAAGATGAAGGAACTCACCAGCATTGCTATGATGCAGGTTGACACAAAGTCATCAGCAACAGGGTGACAGGGATGGAGCCACCACTCCGCAACACTTGTCCAGCCCTTTATGCTTTAGACACTGAGATTTACCCCATGGGATGAATATGGGGGGGGAGGGGAAGGGGGTAGAAAGATGTTTCTCTTTTGTTGCAAGAGCATTTTGTGCAGGAGGAGCCCCCTAGGCAGGAAGTCCTCTCTGTGGGAATTTACGTTCACCCAAACAAACCTATCACTCCACCTGGGGGATGTGGGTTTCAGCTTCAGCTCTTACCCTCAGTTCTTCTGCCATGTCAAAAGGAAGGTGGGAGGCTCCGGTGGGTTCCTTCTGGCCCTCAGGCTCAGGGCTGTTGGACGAGCACCTCCAAAATACCACTGTCATGGAAAGCATCCTCCACTACGTCACGGCAATTCAACTCAGATCATGACTGGGTGCACACCGAGCCCATGCTCTCAGCAAAGGAGCCCAGCGCTGCTCCCTGTCACAGCCCTGCACTCACCAATGCTGCAGGGACTTTCCCAAAACCACCCACAGAGCTGAAACTGCTTTGACGTCCTGCTCCACTCGGCGCACACCTCCTGGCACTGCCCCAGTGCCTGCTGCTTACCAGCACCTTCCTGGGAACAAAAGCTCCTACAGGACTCCCAGCCTGGTCCCAAGGATCAGCCCTGTCCCAGTTCCACCATGGCAAACCCTCCTCATCCCAGTGCTGGTGTAACTCTTACTGCTGGATGCATTAAGGATACAAAGGCACAGCCCAGGAGGTGATTTCCCTGCCACTTTCACACCACCTGGATTTATTTTTGCCTTTGTCTCCCACCCCCAGGTGAGACAATGTGTGAGGAGAAGGATGCCTTGTCTCCTCTGCATCCAGCTCACACCATGCTAGCATCCCCACCTCCTGCCCAAGTTCCAGCCCTGGTCCAGGGGGATCAATAACTCTTCTTGGTTGTTGTTTTTTTTTTTCTTGGGTAGCCGTCCACCCACAGTGGGAGAATTTCCTATTTCCCTCATTTGCTTATGAGAATGTCGTATAGCGCTGCACAGAGATAGTATCACTCCCGGTTTCCCTGCACCACCCAGCCAGTCACCCTAATGAAAAGAAAATTAGATTGGTCTGACACAATTTGTTCCTGCTAGCTCTGTGCTCTCAGCCCCATTGCTGCCCTCTCGGTGTTTATCGCTTGGTGGCCTTACTAATTTGTTCCAGTGGTGTTCTGGGTACCAAGGCTGACTCATCTAGAGCTTCCTGGATCCTTTTTTTTTCCCTTTCCTTGAAGAGAACAATGAATTGGGCATCCATATCCTCCCAGGACCCAGCACCACTCCACATGTCCCCATCCTCTCCTCCTATTTTGTCGCTGTTGTCACTGAACGCTTGTCACCTTGTTCTCTATGGACAAGCACTGGCTGTAGCATCCCTTCCAGGCTGTGCTGTTTTCATAGTTGAGCTCTTAGGGAAAGCAAGTCCACCTCTCCCAGGGTCATTTGAGGCAAGGAGGATCAGATCCCTCAGAAATGGGGATAGGCGGAGGGGATATTGCCCCTTTACTGCCCTGTTTTGAATGGAGATGGATGCTGAGCAGGATGAGAGATACAAAGGAGGAACAGTCTGTGAAAACACCAGTGAGTACCACCTCAAATGGGTTTTGGTGCTCTCTGGTGGCTTCATGGAAGTCCCTCTGCTGTAAGGAGGGAGCTCAGATCCTTCAAGGAGGTTCTTTCCAGTGTAATGGCAGCAGGACTGTCGCCAGGGTGTCCCAACAACCCCAGTCACCTACCCAGCTCCTTCAGCAGCATCCCACCGAAGACAGAAAGAGAAAGAAGGAGAAACCATGGAGCCAACTGAAAACAAAACTAGAGAAAGCAAAATGAGAGCAGCAGGAGGAAATGCAGATGTGCTGTGAGCCTCCAGCATGCTCAGTCACAGATAGGGCATGGATCTCAGTGGAATGGGATGGGATGGAAGAGATGTGATGGGTCTGAACCCATCATGACATACCAGGGCAGTGCAAACAGAGGAGAGGAGAGAATTGGGAAACCTGCCCACCACCATCTCACTTCAGCCAATCCCTACCAGAACCAACAGCCTCTTTCCCACCCAGACAAGGCCACAGAGATGCTCCCTTGTCATTGTGTCTGACAGGTCAGTCATGAAAAGCCTCTTCCAGCCTGACTCCTCCAGGCTGCTTCTTTTCAGAGCAGAAAACACTGCTCTGAAACATCCCCACTCTCAACACTTATAAGTGACCAGGATATGTCTTGCATATAAGTGACTTTAATGGCACATAGCCTTACTGTCCCTTCTTCTCTCTCTATAATGTTTCCTGCGTGTGGCAGGGGGGTTGGAGATTCATGATCCTTGAGGTCCCTTCCAACCCTGGCAATTCTGTGATTCTGTGATTCTGTGATTTTGCAGAAACAATGCTTTGCTGTTTCATAGTGTAGCTCCCCTTGAAGATGCTCCTGCATCAGCAAGAGAGGATTTCCTCTCCATCTTCCCACCTACTTCTCTCAAAATTCTAACTTTGGGGTCAGGGCTTCTTTAAGGGATGATTGCTCATATGTTCCCAGTCCCCTTTAATCATGGCCAGTGTACTTAAGGAGAGGCTGCAGGTGATCCTGCAAGGCATGCACCCTGCTGCATGGTTGGAGCTGGTTTGTGGGATGATATGATACCCGTTTTGGGGGGCACTGTGTGCTCTAGGGATGCTCAGCTGGGGATCTGAGACCTGTATCATGCCTTAAATTCTTTTAACAATGAGCAGCAGCTATAGAAGGCCAGTCCTGTTGGGCTAGCAGTACTCTGCCCTGCTAATGAGGATGGGAGATGATGCCTGGAGCATAGCTTCACAGCACTACTGACACACCCACTGCCCCAGAAGGCCAGAGGAAAAAATGAAGCAGTCTCACCCTCCTGCTTGCACTGTATCTTACAGGAAAGACAGAACCAAAACTGCTGACTGAACTCCTGCTTCTTGCTTACTATGGCTCACTCTTTTCCCAACCATCGTGCTGCAGGAGTTGCGACACGATGCTGCTCCTTGCAACAAGCCCGAGCTGCGTGTCAGTATGAGTAAGTGTGGTGTGAGCTGCACGCTG